CCCCAAAAAAAAAAAAAAAAGAAAAAAAAAAAGAAAAAGGAAAAAGAGAGGCCTGGGCAAGTCTGTTACGTTCGAGCAGGGCTATATAGAATCCATAAAAGAGGCTATAGAACATACTTGCGGTGCATCTGTGTGGTGTGTGGCACAAAATGCACGCGCACTGCGCTCGACGTGCACACAGATGCAGTGTGCTGGGCGCTCGCACTGCTCCTGATGGGTGTGCGCCGTGTGCACTATTTTTTTTTTGTTTTTTTTTTTTGTTTTTTTGTTTTTCTGTTTTTTTTTGTACGTGTGTCATAAATTGTCGCCACAACAACCCCTGTTCCACCCAGACGAGTAGGTAAAAAAATTGGTGCAGCTTTACTACTGCAGGCAACAGAGCACACTAAAGATGAGCCAATCCAGCAATGAAACACCTCAATAGCAAGCAACATGAAGCGCAACCGATGCGTTATATCATAACTTATATCCCTTCCTTGGCTTTGTTTTCTTTGGCTTCTTTGCAGTACCCCTTCGGCTTTCTTTGGGGTACCCCTTTTATTTGTGCTTGTGTGTTTTGGATTTTCACCACAACAGCCCCTAATCCACCCACATGAGTAGAACCAAAATCGAAGCAGCTTTTATTTGTGCTTGTGCGTGTGAGTTGTTGCGTGTGAAAGGTAGCTTGTATACATTCTGGGATGCAATGCGCCTTGTCCACGTTCACAATTCCAATTACATGCATGATGAGGGTGGATTTGAACTGTATCATGCATGAAATGTAGGTTGTATACAATCGAGGACACGATGCACCCTTGCCAAAGTCCACGGTTTCGTGAAACTTTGACGAAGGCGTGGGCTCTTGAATGTATACAGGCTGCCTTTCAGGTTCCATACAGACACAATGAGGGTAGCTTGTATAGGTTCGAGGACGACTCATCCTGCTCGAAGTTCACAAAATCGTTTGACTTTCCACAACGGTGCATTGTGTCCTCGATTGTATACAACCTAACTTTCAGGTTCGGTAGAGTCACGACGAGGGAGCATGGCATTTCGAAAGAAACAAAAACATGACAAATGTGGAAATGACAAACCAAATAGCGTGCGTGGAAAAGAAAACATAAAGATGAAGAAAGGAAAGGTATGCATCACAAATCGTCGTCATGACTGTATTGGACGTCAAAACTGGCTTTTACACATTCGGAGACAAAGATACGAGTAACAGCCACTTGATCAAAGCAGCCATTATTACCCCTCTCTCTCTACCTCTCTCACAGTGGGCACGCTATGTTTCAGGTTCCATAAAGTCATGATGAGGGTGCATGTGCTCCTATTATTAGGAGGGAAAAAAAAGTCAGAAAACCAAGAAAAGGAAACTGTCATGACAGTATTCGTCCTGAAAAAAAACAGCTTAAAGACATTAAGGTCTCAACCATTCCCAATGGCAAACGATCCCTTCGGTTCCATGGTGTCCTGCGTTGCCGGTGTGGTCCGGGTCACCTCCAGCAGAGGACATAGCAGGGCAGATGTTCCAGGGGTTTCGGGGGGCCTGCAGGTGAGAGCGCCACGTACAGGAGACATGCCAACCCCTCCTCCTAGACCACGTGTGGGTGATCCATCGTCGTCGCCCACAGGCCGAGGTTCTCTCTCTCTCTCTCTCTCTCTCTCTCTCTCTCTCTCTCTCTCTCTCTCTCTCTCTCTCTCTCTC